ATAGCACCGGGCACCTCAGCTGACCATATGATAGCTTAAGTGCGGCCGCTTGCGGTCAGACGTTCTCGAGACCTCAATTCTCAACCAATCGCTGTGGACCCCCTTCTCCACTAAATCAAAGTTATTATATCCACATTTCTATCATTTTCCGTGATAAAAGCAAATTCCCACAGAATAATCAGCACCTTCTTGGAGCGAGGTAGTATTGGAAACAAACCTAAAGACACATAAATTCCCCCAAATATATGAAATAATCGCTAAAAATGTTTAATTCTAGTCTTACATGAGTACTTATTCATTACATGATTGGGTACAAATTATCCGTGTAAAATATATACAGAAAGTTAACTTATGTCAAACAGACTTAACTGGAAAGAAATAAATAAAAATTAAATAAATATAAGCTAAATAAGAGAGATAAAATAATATAAAAAATGGAAGTCAGGAAAACTCGATTACTAAACGAAAAAAAAGGGAGTCGATAGCGCTGATTCAACGAACAGAAATTAAAGCTATCACGGTGAATATGCGAACCCGTCAACAGAAGAAAAACTAAAAGTGAAAAGGAACGTTTTCGATTTACTTAATTCCTCTGACAGGGTATTTTGCAGCCAGCCACTGTATACAGTGGTATAACATGACTAGCTTTTGGTTCCGTAGCTTTGAATTCACGGAAACCGTGTTGTGACTACAAGAAATCTAATGGTACACGAAAAGTGGAAAGAAAACTTGTTAGCACTTTAGGAGAAAGATTGACTCTTTTCAAAAACTGTATTAAGCCGCTGTCTCCGTTTGTAGAGTACTCGATTCGAAAACACAAACATTACCCTAGCCAGAGAAATATAGAACATATAACACGAGTATGGTATTTATAAACATGGTTTGTTCTTTATTTGTTCACTCTCTTCGACTGTTCCTTTACATAACCTTACTCTTCTGCTTAAATTTAAGAACGTGAGTAAATTTCTGACATCTCTGTTTACTCATTTTAATTCTCAATTTTTATTTCAAGCCTTTTTCCTTCGCATAATCTTTATTCTTTTACTTAGCTAATTCACTCAAATCGCATTTAATTTAATTCCATTAGTGTTGCCAACGAAATGCTACTAACGCAATTGGCAGCTCTGCCTACTCGCTACTAGCGTCTGCGTTGGCGCGTTAATGTGAACATTTAATTTACACTTTGCCACAAATTAAATTGCAACAATTTGTTGCACTTCTGCATTGACGCCGCAAACGGGGTTGAGGCTGAGGCTGCGAGAGCTAAACAGCCGCAGCAGAAGAGTCTGCATTAAAGTGCGCAAACAGGGACTGGCAGCAGCAAAAGTAGTTGAAAAGTCGCAAGGTTAGCAAAGTTTAGTGCGTTGAAAAACGGCGAAGGAAATTTAGTTGATGAGATTAAATGCGACTCGGCGGTAATGTAAGAGAAGTTTGCGGCGACGAACAAATGTGATAAAATAGAAGCTGCTTTATTTATTTCAATTATTTAATATTTATATGGAAAAAAGCTTGCTACCGCCGAGCAGTTGAGTAAATTATTTATACATAACAACAAATAGTCCAGTTAAATTATAAATTTGTGTAAATATTCAACCAACAATTAGTCGCCACAGCTTCGCCTGGGTGCCAGGTGTTTGCTGCATTTAAGTGCAATGCATTTTCTATACGATTTTGTGGTAATGCAAGAACAATGCGATAGTTATGTTAAGTAGCAATAACATGCACTAGGGTACTCTGTGGACCAGATTTTGTTTTTTCAAATATTTTTTAAACCAGCGCAGCATGTAGCTCACAGTGGATAGTTTGAGTACTTAACGGTTGTTTGTGAAACTTTAAATGAGTAAGAATCGATATAAGCTAGCTGTGGAACATTAGTCAGATCTGGCATATTCTGAAAAATCTTCATAACGGTACCTTTCAAGAGTACAAAAATTGTAATCAGAAAATTGTCAAAGAAGACAGATTAAGGTTAAATTTAAAGGAAATGGGCTTTACATGGCAGCTATATGCTATAATGGTTTGATATGAAAATTATGTTTAGAGATTGTAGCGTTGCTTTGTATAATAAACTATAACGAATTTCGGGAAGATACATTGAGGAGAAAGGAACATGTATAAAATTTCAAATCGATATCTCAAAAACTAAAGCCTTATTCACGTATTTACAGAGCGGCAAGCAAATATTGCTAAATATATTTTATAGGATCTCTGACGTTTCCTTCTTGGTGTTACAAATTTCGTAACAAAATTAATACACGCTGATCAAAATATAAGTATGCGTAATAATATTTTTAGTAAACCCTAAAAATATTAAAAATAATAGCTTTTGATAAATACTTTTAAAAAATGTCAAAAATTTTATCACAGCGCCATCTACCGCAATTTAAATTTTACAATATTTACTTCACAGTTAAATCTTCGATTTTGAAACTGTAATTACAATAGCTCTTAGAGAAACTTTTATTTTGAAGGAATTTTCCTATTTAGTTTTAACAATTTACAGGGTATCTCAAAAATAAGAAAATTTTAGGATGCATAATTAAAAACCTGTAGAAATATGCTACGCTTTTTTGGAATTTTATGCTGCAAAATAAAAACTTTTGTTTACTTTCTGTTTCTTCAAAAGCAGCGTCCTTCATTACATATCACACTCTTATCATTTTCAGTGACACTCAATAACTCAGAAAATGAGAATACCTTTAAGCAATTATCCCTAAATCAGTATCCAGAATTTACGATAGGTATAAAATTTCCGGTTCCCCACGAGCTTAACACTTCCGTACGATCTTTATTTCTACTATTTTACAAGTAGCACCCTACAACACAACCATACATACCTATCCACATTTTACACTTGCAACTACTTTACATGGCTACTACACTCCATTTATTTGCTGCCGGCTTTTGAGTGTGGCACTCGCCGAAAAACCGCATTAACAAAAGCTTTTGAATTTTTAATGACCAACGCCATGGCTGGCCCGCTGGTCCGGCAACAGGACGAAGCAGCAATGGCAAGTAAGCAAACAGGCGGACGGACTGATGTACAGACGGTACGCTTGTAGTTAGTGACTAGAGTGCTGAGGGCACTAATAGGGACACATGTTGCTGGTCACTTTGGCTTAGTTTCGTGTTGTTGCCACCAATGTTGCTGCCGCCCCACTGCCAGCCATTGTGTATTTTATGCAATTTAATTCCTACTCACTTTTTTGACCAGCTCCTATTTGCTCGGTGCTGCTGCAGTAAAAATGCAAATTTACTACATTTCGCACAGCCACCGACTGTTTTGTGCAAATTGCTACAACAACTACAAAATCTACACTCTCCACTTTGCACTATTTTGCGCTCCGTTACATTGCGAGTGGGTGGCTTTATGGCCACAAGAAGAAAGGTCCGCCGGTCAGCAACACTAATTGCGCTCGCCAACACTTAATGCGGAGCTCAGCTGTTATTGTTGTTGTTGCTGTTGCAAGTATTTCTCGAGCATCGAATGGAGTGCGCCACTTCTATTTATTACTACAACTCTTATGCTGTTTAGTGTTGCTACTTGCTACTCGGTGTAAATGTTGCACTACTTAATATCTTCAGTAGCAGTCAATGAGAGCGCCTTTGGTTGTTGGTGTGTCTGTGGTATTATACTAATTGCTACATTGGTTTACAAAGCGTAGATTTCTACTATTTTTTGTTTGTTTTTTTTTTCTTTCTTCTTTTTCACTTACTTTTGGGAGGTCCTTTGTGCAACGATTGCTGCGTTGCTTATGTAAAACTCATTTTGATTTTATTTTCGCAATTAATTAGTGTATTACAGTATGGGAAAATATGTTTGGTTATTCAAAAGATACGTATTTGTTATTTTATTCTAAATGTTAAGCAAGTAAAATAAAATGGATAGGGAAATATGACTTTATACATATCAAATTGCATATATTTCCTTATGAGATAATTTTTTTTTTATTGCACAATCGCAATTGATATTTGAAAGTCATTACTCGTAAGCAGAGTTGCGAATTTTTTATTAAAAACTTTTGGATTAATACTTTAAAATTTAATTTCAAATTTACTTCATTCATTCGAAAATCGAAAATTTATTTTTTAATCGCAAAATCAGAATTCAAAATTGAGGAAATAATGTTTATATATTATATATACTAAATACTATTATTTTTAGCTTTTCAGCACGCTAAAGACGCGCCTTAGCACTTTTTATTGACAAATAATTTATTAATTGCATTTCCTTCATAAAGCGTACTTAATATGACAAAGAAATTGAATAAAAACAGACCGATTAATGAATGCAAAAATTATGCGAAAACAACAATAAAGAATTCTTCTAATTTTAATGCCACAATAAATTTCAAAGCGCTGAAACCAGCATCTTCGGACGACAACCGGTTGCTCAGTTCGATTACGTTCCGCTTGTCATGAGCGTCAGCGTGTGAAAATTTATATGCCAACTCATGTAATGAACTTGCAGAAAGTGACACACAAACACAAAAATGGCGAAAATTAATACAATTCGCTTCTTTTTTTTTTGTTTTTCAAAGCAAGAATTTTTTTAAATAAAATATATGGCTAAAGCTGTAAGGGTGTATGTGTGTATTAATACGGCTACTTACATTACAGCTTTGAATTTTAATTTTAGCACTTGTTTTAATTTTTTTTGTTGTTGTATATTTTGTGCAAGTTTTTTAACTTTGGCACAGGCGTGACGACGCGCCGCCGGATGTCTGAGCGAATAAATCGCATTTAATTTATTTAAAACCATATTAAGTTACGGACTTTAATGCGAGCACACACTAACATACAATATATATATATATATATATACTACATACATACATAAATACTGAAGCTGTTAAGGACCAGCTGTTGGTGGTCAACGTTGGTGGCATTTTTTTCTTCATTCTCGATTTGCTTAATTTCAACGAAATAAAAACGAAATAATTGCAGCACTTACAAACTAACGCATAAATATACATACATATGTACATACATACCTCGTTTTTATATCATTACATATTTATTTTCACTTTTATTATTGCAAACTGCGTTATACAGCCTGAGGCGTGTAACCGAAGATATGCCATGCACGCGTTTTTGCTGGCCATCGCCAGCTGCCATTTACATGCACTTGACAGCCAACTGACAGGTATCCTGACAGCTGTTTACAGCCATTGCCTCACTCGTGTGTGTTTCATATAAATGGACCCGCGCTGTTGCATCTCTATTTCGCAGCAACACTTTAGCGCTGGTGGAGTTTAATGAGCGTTTATGGCTTACAGAGGCTTACGAAAAGTCTATCTTGTCTTATGCCAGAACATTGATACTCAGAGTTACCTACATATATGAACAAGCTACAGGAAGTTCTCATAATCTAATAAAAGATATAGATTACTATACCTTCTTATAATGTTGATTGGAATTTACATTTACTTCTATTAAGCCAGATAAAAAGGGTTTACAAACTAGGGAAGATTGCTTTTTAAATCTTCAAAATATGCTCTTTTTGAGCCAATACATGTATACCAACACTGGAATGGCCTTTAGTGCTCATTTTTTAGAGCGCCATTCATTAGATTATTAGACAGTTTCGACGTGTCAAGTATCTCTTTTGCGTCCTCATCTCTCATCTCCACTCGACGTTATTTTTGCAAAAGAATCAGGTATTTTGGTGCGATCTAGTATTAGCTGTCTTTGATTGGTCATTTCTCTGCTCGCTTCTGCTCTCATGTCAAAAAATTTACATGTGAAAGCAACAACAAAGTTATCCAGTTGAATTGAAGCAAGTTCCAGTTGAATTGCGCATCCGTCAGAAGACTTTAGCGCAGGGTTGCACCACAAGTGCCGCCCGTATGTTTCAGCATCTGGTATAGTTTGTGCGATTCGCTGGAGAGTAACGCTTGCCGAATCGAAGACAGCTATTAACACGCTTCATATCCAAAACATTAACCAAAATTTTCTGGGTCTATACATACTTCTCTCCGGTGACAACATCATGATTTTCAAGCACGGTTTTTTTTACTTTAGCGATGTTATCTTTATTAGACCAGTTTTCGATGTTTTCACGACGTTTACTAAATACTTTGTGGCACTCAAATACTTGTGTTCATGTTAAAGTAGATTTGCGAAATCACTTCTGCAACGTTTTCAATTTCAAGCAAAGTCGTTGTTAAATTTTTTTCCATAATAAAAATCAAGCAAGCAAACTTTTCGCAACGTAAATACACACCTTTTGTCCAAATGTCAATCATAAAAAAAAGGTTGCACCAGTTTAGTAAACATTTCTTCTCGATTTGGTTTGCGTTCGCTGTTTATGGTATATGGACCAGTCCGGGTCAGATAGTACATCGAAGCGTATGTATATTGAAAATAAGAGCACTAGATTTTGAATCTTGCTAAATTTAAGTCGTAAGTATGTTTCGTCCGGAAAATAATCTTAAAATATCAAAAACAATAATTACATGACACAAAAGTTTCCCGTTTTTGTAAATATGTAAACTTCCTTGAAAAAGACACAAAAATATATTTTGAATGATTATCTGGCAGAAATATGCTCAAAACTACTGTGAAAATGTCTAAAATTGTTTGGCCGAAGTGGCAGTTTTGGAAGGTGTTATAAAAAATTGGCTCTCACAAGAATCAAATAATTTTGTATCAAGAAATTTTTGACAAAATGTAGCAGTAAATTTTCAGAATCAATCAAAGAAAATAAATTTCAAATCTTTCCAACACGAGTATATTGTTCCATTTTTTAACTTGTTCAATCAATTTATATTAAACATAAATCATATTATATCATATATATCAAAATACTATTTGGATTACACTTTTTGTAATATTTCTACAATTTTTTTACTCAACCTTTTATTTTTACTACAATTCATAATACTTAAACAATTCTGCTACATTCAAAATTTGATTTTACAAGCTTAGGAATTACATCTATTATTCTTTCATGCATTTATATAATGAAAAATAACATACCTACACGCCTATTTTGTTGTTTGGCCACTTTTTGTCATATTTTATTAACACAAAGACACTAAAATAGATTCTAATAAATATGACAACAATAGTTAATCGTCAAAAAGCCATTAACTACATAAATGGGAATAACAAAAAAAAAATTTTATTTGACAAGCTTTTATTTATTTATTCATTGAAAGAGTCTATATTATGCGAACATAATTAATTCCCAAAAGTTTTTAGTCATTTATGTTGAATCTACTATAAGCACAAAAATGTTGAAATTATTCATAAAATGCGAAGTTTGTCTTGTAGACATTTGAGACAAGTATATATTTATATCGCCATAAATATAACCCATTGTCATATATTTATTATGCCATTTTTACAGCGATATAACTATGACATAAACATTAAAAAGAAATTGAAATCTTTAATATTTTTTTTTTCAATTAAAAAGATATATTTTAAAAACAATACACAGGGATAAAGATAGTAGGAACTACGCCAACTGTCATCGAATCTTCCAGCTAACAATCCTATTAATGGTTCTGTCCTGTTGTACTGTACAAATCCTATTCAAATATCTTAAAATATTATATTAAAAAATTAAGTAATAAATATAAACAGAAGGCAGTGACGAAATATTTTATAGCATGTTGACTAACATCATGTCCAAACTCACCTCATTAATTCAACAATTAAGTGAGGTTGAAACAGTTTATCCTTTAATTTTTCGCAATTTAGCATACAGCAAAGAAATCGACGAAATAATTCATTAGTATTTAGTCAGCAATAAATATTATAAAACAGATATAGTAATATACATAAATTCCCACTAATATTATAAATGGGAATAGATATAGAATTTGTTTGTTACTTACTTAACCAATCGTTGCGTAACTTTGCACACATATTACTAATAGTATTAGAAAGGATATAGGATACTTATTAAAAATTTATATATTTTTTACGAATTCTGAAAAAAACGTGTTTTGGTAGATAAGACTCTGTGTGAAATAAATTTTAAAATGGAATATATTAAAGAAAAACTTGGTTGGATTTTGTAAATTACAACTATTTTTGATGCCGGCGTCTTTTAGTAAGAAACGCCAAGTTAGCAAAACTAATATGTTTATTCTAACTCGTCCAAGAGCTGCTTGCTTAAGAATTGAACCAATGTGTTACAAACGAATTTTTAAGAGAAATATTAATGATAAGTAAGTAGGTAGATAGAGTGGGCTGTCTTACGACACACCTAAACCTTTAGGAGGACCATTGTGATAGTACCGGGACCAAAGTCCCCTCACTCTATTGGTTCCTCTCCGAACTACCCCGTGCTTCTGATGAACTTTATCAGTATAACAAGTTTTGTCTGTGGAACATCCGAGGCGTCGTCAAGAAACCCTCAACCGATGGTTGCGATTCTTTTCTATAGACTTTCTGCTTTACAATCGCATAGAAGATGTTAAATGGTCTCCTCCTCTTCTACCTTATGACAGCTTCTACAATAGTCGTTATATGGCGTTTCTAGTTTACTGGCATGTCTGCCTATTAGACTGTGTCCTGTTAGTATCCCTACTAGAGTTCTTATATCATTCGGTTTGAATTTGAATAGTCCATATGTGCGGCCCATATACCAATCCTGACACGTTTGCCTGCTTGTTAAGCTCATCGAGACTCAGCTATGTTTAGAACAAGTCTGTCAAATAAATATCTACAAGTCGTCAGAAGCATATATATTCCCTCTTTTCCGGACTCTAGTTGTAGAGTGGTGCCTGTTCTGGCTAGCTCATCTGCTACATAGTTCCCTTTCATATCACTATCATTGCAGTTTTATCGTGAAATAGGATGTTAGATCCACTCAGAGCTCAAGGCATTTTTTCACTAACTTAGACGAAATCCTAAGAGACTTTAGTGATCTCAAAGCCGCCTGGCTGTCTGTATATATAAATATATTTCTTGTTGTGAGCACACTCCTTGTTAGTACAAGAATACAAGAAGGCTTACTTTAATTGCTGTGACCTTCGCTTGGAAGACACTGCAGTGGTCTGGAAGACGCCAGGCGATTTGGGTATCTAATTTATCAGAGAAGACACCGCCGCTCACTCGGTTAAATATATTTAAATTCGTTAACTGAGCTGCTTGAATATGCTATTGAAAAAGAGATTAAGTGAACACAGCAATGAAAACTTAGTAGTTACCTTTCATTCACCAAACCTTATAACCTATACTGGCGAATCGAACAAACAACTGGTATAATCAAATAGAGACAAAATAGCATGAATTTATATTGGTTTAAGGAGGTAGTGTAAATACCTACCTCTGTGTAGGGTTCAGCTTTCGCCTTTTAATTTTTTGTAAATTTTATGAGCAACTTAAACCTAGCGAGTAGAGTGACGAATCGAAAGCGATTAGTATAAAAGTGAGTAAACATATTTCGACAATTATTTGTTGCAACAAGACAAAATAATATAAACTACACTAAAGCTATTAGCATAATGATTATTAATACAATCAGCACTAATAAAGGAGTCTAGAGCGTTGCAAACGAATTAAATTTTAGAAATACTCGCCATTAGTTTGGGCGTTGCTTTATAAAAACAGAGAATAATTGATTAGACTTTGTCGGAAAAATAGCATTAAACTCAAATTTATGAGTGTCATTTAATTGAACAAAAGTATTTTAACATTTTTTTTTTCATAAATTTGCTTAACTTTAAAAATATGAACCCATTAATCTGCGCGCAATTTTAAATTACCAAACAACTCGTGTCGCGAGCATTTGAATTTTAGTTTTGTTAACGTTTATTTATTAGCTGCTTAAACTTGTAAGATTTACTATTTTATCTAATGCATATGAATGCACAGTGCTCGGCGCTTTGATAGAGCTCTTAAAAGTGTCAAAAGGGGCTACAATAACAATAATAATAATAATGCTATAATAACAATAGCAATAACAATGAAAGTGAACTGAGGGCAATTGTCTGTCTGCGGCGTCTAAGCATTTGTTGGCTGTTGCAAGCGACAAAGCACCATTTCGCTGTTTTGCAATTGTTAACTTAGTGTTTTGTGGCACATGCAACACCCCTCGTAGCGATTGTTGGGAATTATTGTGCGACAACTTTTGAGCGTGTTGCTCGACATTGCCGACGATCATCTAATGCTAAGTGACGTCGTTTTGTGCATTTGATGCGAGCAGAATGCTGTGGGCGTGTACTGCACCCACACATACACCCACACACAAAGAAATGTATGTCTGGAAGGTTTAAGCTGCAGATTTATTTGTCGCACTCGCATAATTTACGGATACACTGTGCAACACAGACACACACACTTCACTAACTGTTAACAGCAATGCTTCTTCGGCGTAGAAAGCGAGCGAGCTTTCTGCTGTCTGCTCCTCGCGTTGCCTTCAAAGTATTTGTTCTTCGCTTAAACTTGCGTTGGTCGGAAAAGTTTTGCCTCTTGCAAAACCACTTAGTTTACTCAGTTGAATATTTTTGTTTATCACAGGAAAATAGTGTGTGTTTGCTTGCAGTTACTTATTTACACTGGCTGCCTGCAACAGTTGCGCGCTGGAAACTTTTAATCGTCTGTTAGCAATAACCGGAGATTATGCTGATTATTTGCGCGAATTTATGGTTTTAATAGTTGTAACTATATTTGCCTTTCTACAATTTATAGTTGAATAAGTGGGCGTGATTTTTCATGGAAGACATGCTTTCTGTGCGATAAGTAACAATTTTTTCTAAAATTTCGAACAGATTTTTTCAAAATTTCTTTCAGAAGCGAACTTATAAGTTTAGACTATAAAATTAGATTTCAAACCAAAAAGTAAAAATCTGTGGAGCAAATCTGACAAAATCTTGATGCATTTGAAAAAAAAATGTACTCGAAATACACAAAATTTCTATATGAAGAACATACCTTGAAAATGTTGCCTACATTTCGGCGCATGTCAAGCATAGGAGTTTAGAACTCCAATAAAAATTTTCTAAATGATATTTACTAAGTAAAAGTTCACAAAAAGTATTTTAATATTTATTATTTTTAGCCCAGGTATTAATTATATGAACTCCGAATTTCTAATACATAATACAATACATAAGGACTTATAGCGAACCTGTATTATTTTTCGTATAGAAACAGGTCTGTCTATCTTTTAATTTCGAGTTAAGTTCTTCAGAAGTTCATTATGTGAACAAACCCTTTGAATGAGGAGGTTCAAGAGTACAAATTATATAAGAATATAAAATATTGTATTTAATCACAAGAAAAAATGCTACAAAATCACAAATATTTGCAGGAAACATGTAATAGTTCAAATAACGTATGAACTCGTTTTAGTCATCGATACCCAGACCTAGATACCACATTTGCCTACTTCAAAGAATACCCAAACAATTTACGCACCTCTGAATTCTTACGATAGCTGGAAAATACCGCTAAATTATATTGATTATTAAGTCCATTCCATTAGATAATAAACCAAACTTCTGTTCCTGATTTTAACGAGATAAAGAAGATATTGCTCGAATAATCAAAATCAATAAAATCTTACTAATTTTATTATAACTTCAACAGACTAATAGATTTTATAATAATCTTTTGGAGTACAAAAAAATCTTAGAGATTAAACATTGCTTACTTAGGGCCGACTATCAATATCATACCACATAAATATGTGTGGATTGTCCTTTCCAGGCAAAGATTTTTTCTTAGTATTTTTTATACAATAATAACATTCTGAAGGCGTTGACGAACCTCTTCACTTGTTACTACAGTAAAAGAAAAATTACAAAAAGTACAAATTTAGGCAAAACCAGCCAAATTATTTTCACTTCTTGGCTTTTCAACATTTTCCACAAACTTTTTCAATTTCACGCGCATAAGCCAATTAAAAATAATATATTTGCAACAGTAAGCCGCTTTTCGTGCAATAAAATGCATAGCCAGCAGAAAGCGCCACAACCAGAAGTCAAGCACTGGGAAAAAATACCAATTCATGGCACGGCGCATTAAAGTATGCAACGCTAAATGGCGCCCCATGCAATGAACCGCAAAATTATAATGCGCCCTACACACCAACACACACACTTACATACATGGCGGTAATTTTTTATATTCAATTAAATGCAAAGTTTTTTACGCTCTTTTGCGTTTACTGCACGCTTGCAAATCACGCTTTAAGCCGCAGATAAGCTGCTAAAAAGCAGCAGCGCACAAAAATTAAGTCTTAATTGAATTTATGAAAATGAAAAATTAGCTGGCTAAGCGCATTAAGACATTTATGCGCGCTATATAGTAGAAGAGAAGCAGCATTTCACTTTTGCCGCGTAAATGTGGTCAGCTGTGAAAAAAAGTGAAATTGCGAAAATTCTGAAAATTCTGAAAATACGCAAGGCATTAAATTTTACTCGCTACGCGATGTTAATGGGGGTCAGCGCTGTGCGGCTGTTGGATTTAAGTGAGTTTTACGTCAAATCTTTGTATGCGAGCGCTTTCTTGCAATGCTTCGCGCGTTTTGGCACTTAATTTGACCGTCGTAAAATAGCTTTGCCAGCAAAAGCGTGAAAAAATGGAAAAAGAATTTTCTTGCAACATTTCTTCAGCTAAATTGCAACGGGTTTGATCATTCAACGCGTGCACGCTGCCGAATATCAGGCATTCAAAAACAGTGAGGTTATACGCCTGCTTCTTATTGATGTGTTGCAGATCGCAAGTGAAGTGCTTACACCCCAACGGCAACACACCCTCACTATCTCTTTTTTTTTCTTGCATTTAACACGCTTATGCACATAATACGCCACTTGCAGCGTCGATCCACTTGAATTTAACGGTTCAACAACCAAGCGGAAGAGAACAGCGCTACTTCACAGCTCTCGCTGGCTTTGCATCGACTTATCATTTTCAATTGTTGCGCTTCATCGCCGTTTGATGTTGAGGCGTTCAGGAGGTGACCACCAAAATATCGTGTTTGTTCACTCAATTGTGTTGTTATTGCAATTCGCCAGAGACCGAACAGCCGGCTGAACGCACAGCACAGACTGCGCAGTTTTGAGGCGCTATAAAGCTAATTACAACTGATTAAATCTCAAGAAAGCTAACAAAAGATTGTGCAGTATTGAAGAGTATGCAAAATTTGTCTTGTCCTTTAGCCACCGCAGCAGCCACATTTGGTTTCACATTAAGCTTGCCGTTATTTTGTGTGAAGTGGCGCATACATTTTGGACTTAAATGCGCTCCATAAAAACTGCACATTAAATTTTTAACATTTACTCCTTTACATTTCATTTCATTAATTCATATTTGTTTATTTTCTTGCAGCCTGTGAATGTCATCCGATCGGCTCGTCGGGCAAAACTTGCAACAACACCTCTGGTCAATGCCCCTGCAAGGATGGTGTGACCGGTCTCACCTGCAATCGCTGCGCGCGTGGCTATCAACAGAGTCGTTCACACATTGCGCCATGCATCAGTAAGTTCTTACATTCAATTCTTAACCTTTCTTCGCTGGATTTTACAAATCCCAATACATGCCTTCCTACTAATGCCATTTTTTTATTTGTATATCCATATGTCCCTTCTTCTATGTATAACAGAAATTCCCGCACGCAAAGCGAATATGTTGGACACACAGAATACCGCACCTGAACCAGATCCACATGATACCAATGCACCTTATCGCACTGAAGGTGGGAGGGGTAAGTAAGTGTTCGCTTTTTATTACTTTTTTGTTGGTGTTGTTTTGGTTTGACTGGGTTTTCATATTCCTTTGGTTGACCTATATGTCTAAAGTATCTCAGACAGAGCTTGCCTAACTCAAACTATGCTACAGTTTTGCTAAATTTCCGCTTTAGTTACTAATCCATTTTGGTAAAGGTTAGTTTGTATAAAGAAGAAAATATCTAAAACTTCATAATGTCTACTTTCGATCGGAAACTGGAGAATTCTTTCAGTACATATAAATACCGTACAGTTCGGTTACAGTGATTGGGCTATATTCTTCTAATATTGCGATTCTTCCAATATTGCTGTTTTAAAGTGTTTTACCGGTTAAAAAGTTTCTACAAGTTCTTTCAAACATTGCTTTTTAGATACTTCTTGAAAAAATATCTAGTTGCGTCCATTTAGCATCCACTGAGACGCGACTTAGGCATTTTTTTCCAAAAGAAACGACATTTCTCGATCGCAAATTCTTGTTTTCAATATGGTCAATAGAATACCGATCTTTTTCGGTAAAAATCACATGTAAAAATAGTGCTTGAAGAATTTTAAATAATTTATAGTATGTGTCCAAAATATAACTATCTAGTTTAGAGCACACTTGTAAATTAAATGGTTTTTGTTGTTGTTGTAGCGGCGGAATTCTGTTGAGTTGACAGTCCTTCGTCGGACAAAAATCCGGGTCCGTTCCGGTTACGTGGACTCGACTGTCACGGATTGGTCGACTTATAGATTAAATAGTGATTTCACTTGGACAGCTCATAACGCCGGCCCATTGTGATACCTAGAACTCCTGTAAAATTGATCATAACGACCCTCATAAATCGCCAAATCGGTTTGAGTCGATCACAAATTTGTTGAAGTGACTACTGTCAGTCTCAGCTATGTCTCCTGGTTCGCCGAAGGTATGACTGCCGACATGTTTCAACCTCAGACTTGCAAAAGCTGGACCAATAAAAACGTCTGCGATCGCGGCAAAATAAACTTTATTCAACAGCGATTTTTCTATGACTAAGCACCCAAACGCGTATGATGATGAAGTAGCTTGATACTATATCTAGTGAGGATAGACGCTCCTTGACTAACTTTGAACTCAGAGTTTACGAGCTCAACGCTAGTATTGCCGCTCCGCTATCGAAGTGAATACTCACCTCCATGAAAAAAGCGTATCTTTGAAGCAATAAGTCTATTGCTATCTTAATAGGAGGCACTTCTGCCGAAAAAACACAACAGTAGTCCAGTAGCCTAAGGCTCAGCTTGACGGAGAGCTCTTTACAGAATACTCCAACTCTAACCTTCCCCTTAACTTCGTCTAATCCGTATCGAAATCTTGCAATATCAGGATGAAGCAATAAGGTTGCAGTGTCTTCAGTTAAGATATCAAATTTTGTTCCAGAAGTACTTTCAGAGCAAAAGAGGATTTGATTTTGAGAACGTTGCTTCATTAACAAAATTAAGGTTAGAGTTAGAATAGATTTCTATATACTTCCTATACTATCCGTATTAGTTACGGTATCTGAACTATCGGAGTATCGGAACAAGTATTCGTATGTGTTATACATCTGACTTTACAAATTTCCGTTAATTCATTTAAATTTAATTTGCTCCGCTTTGATTTACTTATTTTCATCCGTTCGTGTAATCCTTGTCTCGTATCTATGTATAAATACATATCTATCTACATACATATAATTAAAGAAATAATATTTATTTAACAAATGTCGACTATGGAAAACACTCGTCACGTGATGCTCGCACTTAAAAAGTTCATTAAACTCGCCGAGAAGTAATCTTTAAATAGTAAGAAAAAGGAAACTTGTAAGGGTTCCAAGCATTGGGGTAGATTAGGGAATATATGACTATGTAGACATTATTAACACCTCAATGCGCTGACAAGTGGGTTAGCGACCATATATGTTACCTAACTTACTGACACAACATGTGAGAAGCACTTCTCAGAGCATAGCTAAATAGTCACACTGACAAGTCTGGAGAACAAAAACTCATAGAAACCGATAAGTGGCGGAGTGTGAGTGTAATTAAAAAATCTTTAGTAACAAATACTGAGGATGATAAGCAGCGCGAACGGCGGCGAAACGAAGAGTGGCTACATTTCACGCGGCCTTCAAACAGTCGATGAAACTGCCTGGAAAGCTAAGGAAGTATTACTAAGGCTGGCTGTGAAGCTATTTAGTGTGGCTGCCGTGTAGACGGGAAGGCAGTGGCTGCTCAAGAGGACGCAATTAATAGCTGCTATAAAATAAAGATTTCCTCATTTCCTGTCGCAATACGCTGTGCAACTTATGAGCGCCAACAACAACTTTTATACCCTGAACAGGGTACCACGAAGTTTGTAGCGCCTAGAAGGAAACGTTGGAGATCCCATGAAGTAGATATATAAATGATCACCGATGTCGATCTTTTCGTTTATTTATACGCAAACTAGTCCATTAATTAAGATTTCGCTCCAAAATTTTACACACTTCCTTTTCTCCCCAAGAAGCTGCTCACTTGTCGGAACCGCCGATATCGGAGTACTGTCATACAAACTGAACAATCGGAACAATATTTTAATAGATATTTGGCATAGATTATTGTCAAAGTTAACGATGCAATTTCCGAACAAATTGTTCAGATCGGACCACTATGACATATACATATAGGTGCCATACAAACCGACTCATCAAAACCAAGTTCTTGTATGGAAACCGTTTTATTTGTGAAGGGTATTACAGCCTCGGTGCAACCGCAGTTAACGTTTTTTCTTGTTTATTAGTGTTTATTTATGGGGTGTGCGAGCACAAGCGTGAAAGAGAGAGCGAGGCAGGTGAGGCGAAAGCATATTTGCGGTCGTAAATAATAGAAGAACTTCGCGTCAGAGTGATTTTCCGTAAAACGCCCGCGTAGCTCGCTTATAATGTAATAAAAAGAAATACTTAGTTGCTTACATAATTGAATAATTTTATATAGCAACTTCGCAAGATGTAAACAAATTACACGCAGCAGACACAGACAGCGCGGAGAATCAGCAACATAAGAGCATAAGAGTGTTGCACGTGCAACGAGTGCACGAGTGGGGCGAAAGGGCGCTGAAAATTATTTAAGTAAACAAACTGTGAAGTTTGCTGTTTGCGGCAGTGACTTGTGGCCAGAAGTTTCAGCTGCTGCTGTTGCTGCTTGTTTTTGCTGCCACTTCTTGAATAATACATATACAAACACGTATCTCACGTTGCCGTTGTGGCTGACGTGAAAGCGTTAATGCATAAATATTGATATTAAAGACAACTATAACAACTCGCAACTACCTAAAAACACACACAGAGTTTATTTTTTTTTTTGTTTTGCCTGATAAGGTTTTCGCCCATGCTCCCAGGAGTCGTAAAATATTTGCGCTCGTGATGTAAGTCACTCGCTGCTTGTTGTTATACTTTAAGCTTAGTCAAAACTGTTCTAGCAGTCTATAAGTCGTGGTGAAAATGCCCGCGTAGCTTTAACGCTTGTACTCCGTCGAGCTCATGCAACATACTTGTAATTGTTCATAAGTATATATGTGTATGAGAGCACTCCTTGGCGACAGCTAACAAGTGACAACAAACACTATTACTGCTGGTCCACACCAGGAGTTTTAAGTTTGTAAGAAGCTGCTAGCTAGTTTTAGAGTGAACATAGACACATACGAGATAATCACTTGTTAAACGCCACTTTAATGACTGTTTGATAACCGAAAGTATTACACGTCTTTTGGGGAACACAGAGTGGATAGTGATGATATAAAATTACAAGGCGAGCGTTTAAGATTTTGAGATTTTCGTTTTTGTATAAAATCACTGTTATTTATGTTTATAAATTTATGTATCTCTGCATTATTAAATGGGGTTGGAGAAGACTCACAGACTATTTGACGAACGAATTAGTTGAAAAGGGAGGTGGAGAAGCGCATGACCATAAACAGCACCACTTAAACCAACATTAGGTCCATTGTTCTTCCACGTAACGGATGCAATTACTATAATGACAACATTTTTCCATTCTACTGAACAACGAAAAAAGTGCATATGACGATGTATCCGAAAATTGAATAGAATATGCGAATACGATGAAATTAAAATCAATATCCGAATATGAGGAGATTCGGATAGTATTATTGTAGCTTAGAATTTGCAAAGCCGCGTCTAAAGATGTAATAAAACTAGGATGAGTTTATCAAGCACGCTATCGGAAAGTTGGTAAAGCACAAGCTACAACTCTTGTGAGCAATATGCGATAGTAATTTAAGGGAAAAGATAAGATAGGGTTAAGGTTAAGCGTCTCCAATTTTGAATGAGGAATAAAATCAAAATAATATTTCCAATTTTATATGTAAAAAGCTTGGTTTATGACAAATGAAATATACACTATTATTTTAATATGTCCAAATTTCAAATCAATTAGTAAAGAACCCGGTTTCAGACCACGTCGAAAAAATTTGTTTTGAAAATCGTCTACAATCTTAGGGTTAAGGTTAAGCGTCTCCAATTTTGAATGAGGAATAAAATCAAAACAATATTTGCAATTTTATATGCAAAAAGCTTGGTTTATGACAAATGAAATATACACTATGTTTTTAATATGTCCAAATTTCAAATCAATAAGTAAAGAACCCGGTTTCAGACCACGTCGAAAAAATTTGTTTTGAAAAACGTCTACGATCTTCTTTTATACCGCATGCGAACGCACAGCACGTGGCTCCGGTCTAGAAAGCAAATTAGGCACTTTAATCAGATGATCAAATTTGACCCGGACTGAAAAAAACAATAACTTCACGTATTTTAATACAAATCTGTTTTATTGCCTTTAAAATAGGCTCCAAAGCCAATATAAGCCTGGCAACACTTAATCCAATTTTTCATAAACTTGTTATAAGCCTCAACTGGGATGGTGCCTTCAGTGCCTTCAGCACATTTTGGTTTTTTCGGTTTCAGCTCATTTTTGGTACGCCATTC